GCAGAGTAGAGGGGAACAATCACATCCCCCTCCCTGCTGGCCACCCCTCCTTTGATGGAGCCCAGGATCCCCTTTGCTTTCCAAGCCACAAGGGCACACTGCTGGCTCATGTTAAGTTTTTCATCTATCAGGACCCCCAGGTCCTTCTCCACAGGGCTGCTCTCAAGGACCGCTCCTTCCAGTCTGTAGGGATGCCTGGGATTCCTCCAGCCCAGGTGCAGAACTCTGCACTTTGCCGTGTTGAACCTCATCAGATTCACCCAGCCCCACTTTCCAGCCTCTCGAGGTCCCTCTGAATGGCATCCCTTTCTTCCACCATGTTGACCGCACCACTCAGCTTGGTGTCGTCAGCAAACTTGCTGAGGGTGCACTCTATTCCATCAATGTCATTGATAAAGATGTTAAAGAGCACCGGTCCCAAGACAGACCTCTGGGGGATGCCACTCATTACCAGCCTCCACCTGGACATAGAGCCATTGATGACCACCCTCTGTCTGCAGCCTTTCAACCAGTTTCTTATCCATCGAGTGGTCTACCCAGCCCTTCATTAGCCTCATTGAGAACCAAGTTCCAGGTGGAGCCTCGGGCCCAGGGCCTGAAAGTGCATCTCCCGGGTCCTACTCCAGTATCCACATCACCCACAGTATCAGAGTTATCTCCTCTCCACCTATAGGAGATGACAACAGCTTTAACCCAAGAGCAGTGAGCCCATCCCCCAGGTGCACATGGGAAGAAAGAAGGGAGCACAGAGGGCTTTTTGCTGCAACGTGTTTATTATGTGCCAAAAACTACACCACAGCTTACTCCACGCGTCTGCAGGAGAGTGCAGTCTTGCCTGCATATACTACAATGAGGTAGAGACTTCACACACAGCTTCACGAAAACCCCACAAAGAGCAGCTGGGATATGCAACAATGCAACATCAGCTCAGCAGGAGAGGGAGAAATTATGACACTGGTTCTTTGGCACACAGCTTCTGATAGAGGGGAAAGTAAAAAAAAAAAAATCTCAAATCCCAGCAGCATTTCAGTCGACTGCACCATTACTTCATACATTTCTGAAACAAAAGGAAGAGTACTTGTCCCCTCTAAGAGAAAGGGCTCCTATGAACCTCCATCCATCCACTGAAACGCAGCCCTTTTTTAGCTAGTTACAAAAGGAAAGTAAGTCCTGTGACTTTGTGATTAAAAACCTCTATCAACCCCCCTTAAGTGCAACAAACTATTTAAAACTATATACAGCAGCTCAGAGATCATTTATCCGGTCCAGTTTCAAATCCAGAAATCCTGTCCTGTTTCTGTTGCAAACGCCTCGATTTACAACTTCCCACCAGCAGCCCCCAGACACAAATTGCAATAATGTTAAAAGCTGCCAGGAAAGAAAAATCTCTCATTTCAAACGACTTAAAAACTGTTTAAGAGTGTAAAAAGGAACTGGTAAAAACCCTTGAGCGTAAAATATGAAATATGATTTGGTTTAAATGAAGAGCAAAGTCTCCTTGTTGTTACAGTAAAAAACGCCAGCTGAACATTCAGTTTATGCCGTTCAGATGGGGGTTAAATGAATGGAAAGGCACTGTATGGCAACTGCAAAAAAATGGAGCCAATGAGACCTGCATAATTACCATCAGTATTGCAAGGAATGTAAAAAAGCGCCTTTAATAAATAAAAAACCTAGGTGAAGGCATCTGCATAAACACCTTCTCAACACGCGGCCCTTTTTGCTTCTCGTCAAACTAGGAACCAAAGTCTGGGAACTGCAGAATCGCTTGAGGGGGCACTCCCCCCCCTCAAAAACCCCAAACAAAACCCGACAAAATTCACTGTGCATTAGTGCAGAAACAAAAAGACCAGCAAGTGCAAACGTGAATGTAAGATTTTCCCATTAGTCCTCAGGAAGCGCGTTCCCAGCCTGGGTCTGGCACCAGCAGGCACGCTCGTGCGCTCCCCACTTGGCAGGTTAACAAAAGGACTTTCCCCCGTGCCCGCACCCCGACAGCCGCTTTAGCTGGAGTCCCCGTTCTTCTGGTTGCGCATCAGCGGGCGGTGGTGACGCAGGACCTCCATAGAGTGCTGCCAGTGCCAGCAGGAGCGGCAGAAGTACTTGAAGCAGATCTGCAGGGAGAGAAGAAGGGAAACAACATCAGTCAGGATGGGCTGACAGCCCCCTCCGTGCTCCCGCAGCCAGCACTGGAGATCTCCAAAGGCTGCGAGGAGCCTGGGGCTCCCGCTCCAGCATCCTGTCCTCAGCAAGGACAACACGCAACCCGAAGGACCCCAGCTGTGAAGAGCAGAGCCTGCTCATCCACACAGCACTGTCAGGACAAAGCATTACCTGGTCCCTGCAGAAGAAAGGGCCAGGCTGAGCACTGCAGACTTGGCACATGGAGTCCTCCAGGTACGGGTCGATCTGAACCTGCACCAAAAACCAGGCAGTCAGCACAAAACATAGGGCAGGCCCAGCAGGACCACCAGGAGCAGCCTCAGAGGGACACTGGGCCATGCTGGTCAGGGTGCCCCAGCACCACTACCCATCACCTACACGTTCAGCTCTCCCGCCGCCCCTGCTCCTCTCACCTTTTTAGTAAACTTGGTCGTTTTGATTTCTACAAACGCAGCAGTCACTGCCTTCAGGTAGCTGCGCTGGTTGTTGAAGGTGACACGGCCAGACCCTGAGAGAAGCCAGAGCACAAGTGTTAGTCCAAGCCAGCAACCAGGGGTGGGAATCACTGAGTGGCTGCTGAGAATGTGACAGTGCTCCCAGGAGCAACATCAAGCTCCACGCCTGCATCTGAAATAAGCTGGTGCTGAGACAGCTCAAAAGCTTTTATTTTAAGCCTCCCACTCATCCCATAGTCTTGCATTTTGCATCCTCACTGGCAGTCAGCAGTACTCCTGCACCACTTGTTTCCAGCCAAGTTTTATTACGCTGCAGAAAAACCAACCCGTGCTTACCTACAAGTTCTCTTTGTTAGCCCAACAGGAGCTCTGACTGACACAACACTCCTGTATGCTGGCAGCTGGAGCTGAAGGCATCGCTCAGAATATGGTTATGCCTTGTCCAGGCCCCCCCAGACTGTCCTGCAGTGCTGGATGGATGCCAGGGGTTGCTCTGGGCATTAGGCTGTACTTAAGAATCACAGCTGGACTCTGGGGATTCTTCTCCCTAAGAAGGTCATGTACATCCAGTGGGACCCTAAAAGCCACCCAGGCAGTGGCTCTCTTCTGACTCAGAGGGCTTACGGCCCCTCCTGAAACTCCTCAACCACAGTCAGGCACTGATTTATCACACAACCTGCCTCCAGAGGGATCATCCTCTGCTTGGGAGCACTCAGCATGAGGCAGGTTGCTGCCCTAATGAGCCTGCTGCCAATCCAGAGACAGTCAGGGAGTCTGGGGTAGTGTCTCAGCACAGGAGATTTCAGCCAGCCTTAAACCAAGTAAAAGCACAGTTCATTTGCTGATCTCACATTGCTACAGCTCTAATTCTGCTGAAGTGCAGATCTGCTATTCTGAGCCAGAAACCTCTCTCACTGGAGGGAGCGACCTGAGCTCAGCACAAGGAAGCTTCAAGGTTGTGCTCTAGGCCCTTATGTTGCCAGCACAGAACAGCTTGTTGGGCAACGCTTCAAGACTTCATCCACAGTCTCACAGACTCAGAGCTTGCTTAAAGTTTCTGACCTCCATTCCTCTCTTCTCAGGACTATCCCCCCAAAGCCATGAAGTCTACCACAAGCATATCCTAAACCCAGGCCTTGGGCACAAATCTTGACCAGAAGTCTGCAAGCTGTGTAAGGACAGTGATGAACAGCATCTCAGGATCATTGGCAGTTGACTGGCTGTGCGCAGCACTGAACCAGAGCAGAAAGCCCTTCAGCAGTGCCTGAGGTGGTGTCAAAAACCTCAAACCGGTGGAGAATAACCCAGAACTTTCCAGCTGCCAGGCCCTGTCAGCACACTCGAGGCTTGACTTGCATCCCTACATCATTGCGGGACATCCACTCCCACGGATGGCTGCCTGTCCTGCTGGCTGCTTGCTCCCCAGAGCTCACCAAAGGACCAAGCAGCAGGCACTGCTGCAGCCTGAGTATCTCCAAGTGCACCACAGTGGGGTGAGCACTCACCAATGGGGTACTTGTGCTTGTCCGTGTCAATGCCAGCGTAGATCACCCCTCCAAACAGGTCACACATGACAGCTGCCAGGGCCTCTGCATTCAGCATCCCATGCAGAGCCCCCACAAACACCGTTTTGCTGGGATCCAGCCGCTGGGAGGGGCTGCGCACAAAGTTACTGTCTGCCAGCACCCACGGGATCACCTGCACCTGAAATGATGCACAAGCAGGTCAGTCAGCCAGCAGGAACCAGCCCAGGCCCTCAAGACTTGAACCCCAGTTTGCAAATGCCTCTTTAATTACTGCTGTTTAGGGTCCACATCCAGGACAAAGCAGCTCTGGAGCTCTAGATGCAAGGAGAACACACACACCGCCTGGTTCTGCTTTCAGACAAAGTGGAATCCAAAACACCAGTCCACTGGGGCTGGCGGCCAGGGAACAGCCCATGCATGACCAATTTCACCTACTGCCTGCACCTATGTTCCTAGCTCAGAAGCCTATTGTTGAAAGGGATTGACAAAACCACCCACTGCCAACTCCAACAGGAGCTTCCATCTGCTAGACAGCTGATACAGGGCTCTGAAGAGGAGCAGCTTCTGCTAGAGCTAAATCACCAGGCACAGAAGCGCTGCCAATAGTCAGACAACAGAAGAGCTGTCTGGAGTGCAATTAGTTTGCGCCTGTTTAGGTGAGAGTTGAATTTTGATTCTTTAAATCTACAAACTTGTGAGCAGTACCTGATCTACATTTAAGGCCTCGCTCCTGCACAGGGCAGCAGCTGCAGGATCTGAAGTATCTGCTGCAGTAAGCACCAAAATCATCCTTTTTGGAATCAGGTACGGTTTAATAAAGGGCAGAGCATGGTAAGTATCTCTGCAAAATGAGGGTATGCAGAAGTGATGGGCCTGCTCACCTCTTTGCAGCGCATCCTGCGGCTGGACATCTTGAAGTAGTACTCACTGAGCCCGTCGGGGCTCAGCAGGTCCTGCGAGCATGCCTGCAGCAGAGCACGCACAGACTTCTCTGATTCAAACACCAGGTAAACATATCCTTTGGAGGTAAAGGTAGAAAAAGAGCATTAGGACTGTGAAGGACAAAGAGGATCACCTCAGTTTGCAGATTCCTTCAGAATCACTCTCAGTACTTTCAGCATCTGCGCTGCATCTGTTGCTCTGTCCAACCCCTTCTTCAGGAGACTCCTGTTCAAGTACTACAGGCAAGATCTACTAGTGATATGAAGTGTTGAAGAAAAGCCTACCTCTCCATCAGAAGATACCTGTGCTCAGGATTATCTGTGTCACAGCCTCCTTATATGCACCGCCACGTCTAGATGTGACAAGGGGCCACAATGGGCCTGGCCACAGCACAGGCTGCAGTAGAGTAGGTTTGGCTTTGCACATCAGATGTCTAAGCCCAAAAACTTCAATGCAGAGCTTTACTGTCAGTGCCAGCACCCTGCTTCTCATATCACTTTGGCAATCAAGCAAGGCCATTAGACACTGCCAGCCTACAAACCAGTCACTATGTTTGTTATGCTTTAGCTCACTACTGCTTACATATCAACCCAACAAGTTCAAGATTTAGCCACAAGACTGTTCAACTCACTGGTATTCACAGCCTTCTGCAAACTTTTGCATTTACCACACACACTTTATGCCAAGGGCGCGTGTGCCTTGGGTGCTTCCACTGGCAGAGGAGAACAGCAGCCACCACCAGAGCAGAATGGTCCCACAGTGGGCTCCAGAAGCACCAACAGGTGCTCTGCACCCCAGTGCTTCAAACAATCCCCTGCTAGGGACAGGCCAGAAGTGACAGTGCTCTGCAGCCCTGGTGCTGACTCAAGTGAGAGTAAGACATTTACCCTAAGGTGCTCTGTACCATCCAGTCACCAGCATGCAGCCATACCATCCCAGCATCTGTGCTGTAACATAGCATGGGAAAAAAGTAACCCTACCGTGTCGCTATTACCTTTAGGCATATTACCTTTGGGAGGGCAGCGTGGGTGTTTGCCATCCTTACCAGGCCACTGCACACTCAGTGAGCCAAACGCACGGAAGGTGTTGATCAGTCCAACTGCATATGGAGGAGAGAAGTCAGTGTCCTTACAGACAGCTACACCCCCATATCGCTTCAGCTCCCTGCCTCCCCCATGAGCTATAGGGGCTGGCAGCAGCATCCCAGAGAGAACAGAAGCCCACATGACACCCAGCCAAGGCAGGAGCACACGGATGCAGGTTGCTCACCTTCTGTGATGTCCCACGGGACTCCCCCTAGGAACACTTTGCAGGAGTAGACAGGGTTCTTGTAGTTTCTTGGAGGCAGCTGCCCACTCCAGGTGCAGGTTGCTTCATTCACAGCTTGGACAAACACAAGCAGAGCTCAGAACAGGAGCACACACCTCCCACTCCCCCATAAGACTCCAAGCAAATACCCACAGCTACTGAAGTCAGCTAAGACCCATTATTTGAATTACCTGCTGCTTGCCTGTGCAGCCTGGCTTCTCTTTCAATACTGAAGGGATCTTCTGGAGAGTCCAGGAGATCCCAGGAAGGCCACGCAGAAGCTCCAGGCCATCTTTTCGATGCACTGGCTGGAGGGGAAGTGACTGCAGCCAAGGCAGCTTGATCTTGATCCATCCGTGATCCCACTCCCATCTTGAGGGGGTCTCTTGACACCCCACTGAGGGGCAGAAAGGGCAGAGGTGGGGAGATGCGAAGGCTCGACTGCAAGAAAAAGCCCACATAAGAACTAATCTTCCAAGCAGGACACAGAAGCACACAGACTGGGTCAGCGAGATAGACACTCGCCTTGCTTGCTGGCTTCCAAATTTAGCTGCGCTTCAGGGAGCTTGAGCAGGCTAGACCCAATTTACTCTAGAAAAAGTGGGCCTACAGAGGGGTACAGTCAAAACAGAAGGGCAGTAAAAGGCACAGAATGGAACTCAAGAGGAGCCCAGGCTGGAGGTTGCTGCACCCACTGATACTGTAGTCCTGCACACCTGCACTCTCAGAAATGTGGAGAGATGCCACAAACCAGGCTGCAGAGAGCAGACACAGGACCCAAACTTACAATCAAGTCTGAGAGGTGGTCAGAGCCCGAGCTGAACCCGCTGGTGTCTGAGTCAGAAGGGCTGCTGGAACGCGAGTCCAGGAGGGAGCGGGAATCCAGGCGGGAATTCCTCAGTGCCGGCGCAGAAAACTTTTCTGATATGTCTGAGCCAATGGGATCTAAGGGCAGGAAACCCAGTGGGGGCTTCCCCAGGACGTTCCCCAGAGGGCTACTCAGCATGCTGAGAACTGCAAGAGAGAAACAGCCCGTGTTTTTGAAGTCAGACTTGTGTACAAGAGCCAATAGACAAATATACAGCAAGCTGCTTCCCCACACAGTAGGGTTTCTCTCCTGCTGTGGTGGAAAAAGGTAAGAAAATGCCTTGCTATGAAGCCAGCGTGCTGGAACATCCAGGGGTGCTCAGCTCCCAGCACCCTGCTCTGCAGGCCAGCACTAGAGGGAAGGCAGCATGCACTTGGCCACACAGTATCCCACAGGGACATGGCCCCAGCCAGCTCTATTCAAGAGGAGCAAGTCTCAGCAAGCTGAGCATGTCCCCAAACCCAACAAAAAGAGCAAAGCATTCAGAAATGGTTTTAATTATTCAGAGGCTGCAAAACAAGGCAGCCTGCAAAACAAGGCAGCCTGCCCTAAAGCTTTCAGTTTCCAGGGGAAAGAGTTTAGGATCCATTTGATAGCATCTGAACTACTTGATCTCTTAACCCAGGTTTTCAGGAGCTCTTATACAGAAGGAGTAACAGTTTAACACAGTCCCCAAACCAGGTAAGTAACAAATACACTATCACAACTGAGGTATGCTGCAATCAGTAGACACCAGCATCGCTCCAGAGTCAGGGAAAGCTGCCCAAAGCAATGAGTAGGGACATACCTGCCCCAGTCTCCACACCTGCTGGAAGCTGGCATCTCCACTCTCATGCTACGCAGTAAGGAATCTCAAAAGATCAACAGAAAACCCAGTCTGGTACAAGCAGGTTCCCAAGAAAATTACTCAAGACTGAACTGACCCACAGGAGCTCACTGCTAGATCCACAGCATTCCCCCACACATTTGTAGGGCTTTATCCCTGAAAGTTACGCTAGCAGAGGCACCAGCCCCTCCTCTTCCACACTTCAGCCACAGCACAGGGCTGAACTAAGCACTGTGCCAAAAAGGTACTTGGAAACAGACTGCCTGCATGGTAAAGTAACAGAGCTTTTTGAGTATCTGCTCAACTCCCCCCTGCAGCAGAGCTTACACCCAAACCAGCAACAGTCAGAGCAACCCCACAGCCACAGAAAGCCTCAGTACTTACAGTCAGCAGAGCTCAAGTGGAGCAGCAGCAAACTGAGAGCTGCTGCAGGCAGCTTACAGCTGGGAGGAGGCTGCTCCCTCCTTGTCACAGCACAGAGCAGGGCAGAGCATCTCCCAGCCCAGGCAAGCCGTGCTACGCTGGTTCGCCGACTTCTCTGAAGCCACGTGATTGCTTTTAAAAATACAGCCAGCATATTGTTCAAGGGAGACAGCTGAATTCGTTAAGCAGGCTCAAAAATTTGATTAGTCACTAAACACTACAAGAGTCAGAGCAAAGCAGCCGATCCCATGACCCAAGCCTCACAGCTGGCAAACACTCCAGCACTGTTGCCTGCTAGGAGGAGGGCATCACAGCCCTGCAACTCCACTCCTGGTCACAGCACTACCTTTGAGGTTACAGGACCAGCACCTCAACCAAGTTGCAGCAGCAAGGGTTCAGGGGCACAGCAGAAGCTCCCCAGTTGTTCTGGGGAGCTCAGTAGTTTCACCCTCATTCATGCCACCATGCTGGCTTGCTAAAGCCTCTGCTTATGCACTTGCTCCCAGGATTGCTGGGATGTCACTGCAGCTAGGAAAACAGTAAGACCAGTGGGAGTTCCTGAGAGCAGCCGGACTGCTGGCCTTTTAAGGGGTCAAGTGCTCTGGCATCTCAGAAGCATGGGGCAGCTGAGTTCAACACCTACCACCAAGTTGGCTACAACCAATGTCTGGTTCTGAAAGCAATGGCATCCTGCTGTTAATACAGATGGATTTTATTTACTCCAGAAGCTTCCTAACAGCTCTGCATGCTGAGCTTCTGGGAGACTCCACAAGACCCCAGATAGTCCAAGTGCTTGGCAGAACACAGCAACCCTCAGAGACATGAAGAGGAAGAGCTGCAAGCCAGGCTCAGCGCTTGCTCTTCTGCATTTGTCAAGCAATCAGGTCGCATCTCCTGGAGCCAGCCTCTGCAGGTAGCCTAGGAAACATTGGCACTAAAGACGAGATCTTGTTTCCCTCTGCACATCTCCACTGCCCCAGAGTACCCAAATGCAGCCAGCTCTAGCTCCCTGCACTCAGATAATTTGGGCCACTCAATAAAAACACCATTCTTTCCGGGACATTGCCTTGTCCTTCCCTCCCTTCCGCAGAAGAGGAGACTTGAACCATCTTTAGTACATAAGCAAGATGTATCAGCAATTTCTGGTATCAAGAGCATCCCTGGAGATCCTGAAGTGGAACAGCAGACAGATAACACTTCCCCCTCCCCCACCCCTCACCCCCCACATAGTCTGAGCAGTGAAGTGCAAGCAACTAAGTATTTTTCACACTTATGCTGGAAATTTAAATCTGAGGGTCAACATGATTCCCATCCACAGCAGCACCAGCATCTGGAGAACAGTGGGTCACAGAAACCTTCTGGAACTTTTCAGACCTCTGCTCAGAGCTGCAAGAGAGGCACATGCCAACCCTCCTTTGCAGGGGACAGCAAAACCAATAGCTTTTAATAGAAACTCCACTCTGACTTTTGACTCACTGCTGCAGCTCTAATGACTGAATTCAGAGCCAGCATGCTCCATCTCTGAGCACATCAGCCAAACACTGACAGATTTAAAAGCAGTCTTGACACCAGTGTGGCACTATTCCATACAGCAGGTGCTCAGGTCACTCTCTAGAGAATGATCATTGGAGGATCCAGTCCTGTTCCTTGCTGGAGCTTCTCCTAGTAAATGCCATCAGAGCAGCACTGGTGCAATGTGCCCTCTTCACTCCTGCATCATCTTGGGGCTGAGACACAAACATCTTGAATACATCACATCCAAGAAGTACAAGCCACATGTTTCACAGCAGGAGCATACAGCCACAGGCTCAGCTTTTTCCAGCTAATTCTAGGCCCCAATTCACCCCTTAACTCTGCTCATCAGCCACTGAACTGCCCCATTTAATGTGAACTCATCCTGCCTCAAGCTCCACCAGAGCAGGCTCCAGTTGGTGGCACACACCCTAGGAAAGGCACCCCAACAACTAGACCTCCAATAGCTAACACAGCCCATCTCACTTTTTATTCTTGCACACTCCAGCTATATTTGCAACGTAATGCACTTGGCATTAAAGAAATATGGCTTTCTTCCCTGCATGCTATGATTTACAGCCACTTCAGGATTAGACCCTCCTGGTAGTTTAGACCAAGTATATTTTACAAGAAGCAGATGTAAAGATGAGCCCCACATAGCCACGCTTACTACTGCTAGCATCTTAGAGAAGGACTCTAGGCTAATAAAAAATATTACCACTATACTGATAACAAACAACACTTTACTGCCTTGAGTAAGACCTTAAGATAAGCACTGGTGACTGAATTCTTCCTGGCAATAAGCAGCTCTGTCACTGTAGAGCTGTACTCCCCATCAATGACCCCTGCCTCTGCTTCAGGCTCAAGAGACCACACAGCAGAACAAGCACATTCAGCACAGCAGCAAGCACAGCAGCACCTCTGCTGCATGGTGCATCAGTTCCAGACAAGTCATCTAGAAAATGAGCCCTGCCCAGTGCAATAACACTCACATCATATTTGTGTCCTTTTGCTCAAGATCTTCCCAACAGAAACACTACTCTCAGCCCCCTCACAAGCACAGGTAACCGTGGGTACATACAAGACACTCTGTTGAGCCCAGCAGTATGGTAGGCTCAGGATCTCCGCATTACAAGCATGCAGGTGCCAGACACTTCTTGATGTGTGTGCATGAGACAGTGCTTTTGGCAGTGGCACCAAGCATTAGATGAGCACAGGCACCCACTTTTTGAAGTCGTGCTCTGAATACATATTGCAGCCTTTGAAAGCTTGCTGCAGGGCAGGAGAAAGCCTATTTAGAAGGGACCAGGACTTGCATAAGCAGGTCAGCAACACCAAGCCCTTCATATGGTTGGTTCTGCAGGCTGACAGCACCAGCAACATTAGAGAAAGGGTCATTTTGGCCTCCAGATACTACTTACACTGCAGTCCTGCCCCACTATCCTCGCCTCCTTGTGGACGCAGGGGTAAAGAGATGAAGAGGAACACGTAACAGGACAAGCAGGGCAGAAGAGGTGGCTTTCAGAGTCACCATGCTTCTACTTGCTGACACCTGCTGTGCCCAGAGGTTGCAGAACCATGCACACATTTGAGGGACAGTGGCAGAGGAAGGAGGCAGCATGATCAAGGCCCTGGAGACTGAACACAGTGCAGTTTCTTTGTCATTTGTCAAATAAGCCTGTAGAGGGGAAAAAAGGGCTGATGTCCCAAACAATAGCCTGCTGCAGTTCCAGAAAAACAGCTCGTCTGCAGTTTTTACTGCCCAGCCAGACTCTGCCCTCGTGGGATGGGAAAAGGCTGAATGTTTTAGTCAGCCAAAAAAGCAGCACCTCCTACAGACACTAAGCAGCTTCATGGCATGAGAAACATTTGCATGTCTGAAAGGCAAACGGGCACCTTAACCACCTCCTACAGCTACAGCTAATGCCTCTGTAGTCACAGCAGTGATGCAGCCAAACAGGCTGCCAGAGCCTGTTCTCCCCCTTCCACCACACTAGCCTGCTCACCACAGGGATGGAGCAATCCACACTGCAGACTAACCCAAAGCCAAGTTTTAGCACTTCTTGCCTGCATCCACTGAGCCTTACACTGCCTGGGGGAGCCAGAACACCTGCAGCCACAGAAAACAGAAATGGGCAAAATCTGCAGCAGACAAATGCTAACAACAAAAAACCCTTCCTCATAAGCCAGCAGCCACAGGACATGGAGGTAGAAGGGGATTTTGCAGCCTTACATGTTCAGAGCTCACCAGAGCCAGACCCAGCACCACTGATCTGAGCTTGGATACCTCCTGCTCAGAGGACTGGCTCAAATCCTCTTCATTTCACTATGCTCCCATGACTCCAAATTGAGAAAAATCACTGCTATGATGGGAAGAGTCACCTG